AAGCTCTGTGCATTGACAACTAAAATCTAAGACCGAATTAAGTACGGCTAAATAAATTATAACAAAATGTTGGGAAAATGGCGCCCAACGTAAATCCAACATTTTACCAAAATATCCTATATTATTAAAGATACATTTTTTATTTCAAGTCTAGAACTTCTAATAATGTCTTTCACATGCGATAAATGTGAATAGAACAAAATGGCGCCCAAAGGAAGACAATAACACTTACCGAGCTCCCTACACTATAAGCTAGGTGCATGTTTTGAACAGTATTCCGACCATTTCATATTCAAATCCTTATGTCGATAGAGGACAAATTATAGCCATTATGTGAAGATTGATCAGAATGGCGCCCAACGTCGGAATTAAATAATTATCACAATTTTCACAATTACTGGAGGAAAAAATACAATCCCTTTATATTAAGCTCTGTGCATTGGCAACTAAAATCTAAGACCGAATTAAGTACGACTAAATAAATTATTACAAAATTATGGGAAAGTGGCGCCCAACGTGAATCCAACATTTTCAGTAAAATTTCCCTCAAATTCCTGCATTATCGAAATCTGTTCACAGACACCTCTAGTGTCTAGTCTAGAAATTTAAAAAATGTCTTCCACATTCAATAAATATGAATGAATGGTCCAAAATTGGCGCCCAACGGAAGGCAATATCACTTATCGAACTCCCTACCCTATAAACTTGGTTCATGTTTTGAAAAATATTCCGAGCATTTCAAAGTCAAAACTTTGTGGCGATTGATGCCTTATTATAGAAGTTATGTGAAAATTGATATGACTGGCACCCAACGTCCATATATCATGAAATTAAATTAGGATCACTAAATCAGAATCCAAAATGCCGTTAAATTGTGGAGAAGAAACAACCGTAGACAAATCCAACCAATATCCCGTGTACTGTCAAATAGAATTTTAATCTGATTAAGGTATGACTAAATTAATTATAACAACATTTGTAAAATTGGCGCCCAACGTGAATCTAACATTTTAGACAATTTTTTCTAGAAATCCTCCATTATCAAAGTCTGTCCACAGACACCTCTAGTATCAAGTCTAGAAATTCAAATAATGCCTTCCATATGCGATAAATGTGAATTAACCAAAATGGCGCCCAACGGAAGGCAATATCACCTACCGAGCTCGCCATCCTATAAATTTGGTTCATGTTTTGAAAAATATTCCGAGCATTTCAAAGTCAAAACTTTGTGGCGATTGATGCCTTATTATAGGCGTTATGTGAAAATTTATATGAATGACGCCCAACGTTCATATACGATCAAATCAATTTGTGATCACTAATTCAGGATCCAATATGACGACCAATTGTTGAAAAGAAAGCCGAAAAAGATCATTTCTATTAAACTTGGTACATTGGCTAATATAATCTAAGACGGATTTAAAAAGTGGCGCCCAACGTTATAACTAAATTTCCCTTATTACTGAATTTTTGCCGATATTACTGAATTTTGCTCTCAGACACCTCTAGTTTCTAGTATAGAAAATTAAAATAATGGCTTGCAAATACGATAAATACGAATGGACCCTACAGAAGGCAATATCGTGTCCATCATGTGGTACCCTACACAACTATAACTGGACTTTAATTTTCATCTAACAAATTATGATGTAATTCCAGTATATTTTAAGGTTATTTCACAATAAACGGAAATTGACATCATAACTCCATTACACTCTCGAAATAATTTATCAATGAATATTTTTTTTCGTTTTAAACTGTCAAAAAAATCGGTGCCTCATTGTAGGCTGTAATGGAACATATTTTTTGGTTTATCTCTCTGTCCTCCCCCGTTAAATATGGCCATATATACACGAATGCTACCAGAAATGTGTAATGGATTATTTGTATTGAATTGTTATTTAATGATCATTGGAAAAGAGACATGAGAAAGAGAAAAAAAAACAAAAGACTTAAGGCACGAACTTGGCTCACACAAAGCCACTTAACATGAAATGACTTCATTTAAATGGTTTATTTTTGCGAATATTGAAATATGAAATATATTATGAAATAATTGAAATACATACAATTACGGTCGAAAGGTAATTTGAAATGTGGGTTCGCAAATATATACAGACCAAAAATGACTGGAAATACTCATAAATATCGGTCTTTAAATGGATATTAGTGATACCGAATATTGTATATATTTTTGGCGCCATTTTTTACTGATTTCCCATACACCTATTAAAGGATACACACGCCGATGGATTCAAGGTTCGAATCGCAGCGTAGGAGAAACAATTATTTAAAATTGGTTCCAAAAAACATTTATAAAAACAGGATGATGTGACCCCTCCAGATGATAGGAAGCCCCCTGACATTCTAATAACCAAGATCGGAATCAACATTCCTATAGCAGGGTAGAGCACCATGGGGAAATGGCAACACTAATAAGTAAAAACGACAACCACTGCACAAAACTAGCAACTATTCATACCAAAAATTATCAATATTGGTCCCCGTTTTGGTATAGTTTCCCAAAAGCGGTACCGCTCATTTGTTCGGTATTTCGAAGCTTATAGAATTATTTCCCCACCGAAGTGGTTGTGGAAAAAAATATTTTTTCAGAAACATTTTGATATAGGTCAATATTTTTAAACGTATATGTTGCCCGAGCTTGGGCGCCAATTTCATAAATTTTCCCATCAGTTCTTTAAACTGAGCTGTACTAAATTCAAACGCCACTATGGTAATTACTTTGAGAGGTATTTATAATTTTTTTCAAACTTAAGAACATTTAACACTGATTGAAACTCTACCCTAATTTGGGCGCCACTTAAAAAAAGTAATACTAAATTATTGCAAAAATTTAGTATCGATGGAGGAACTGATTGAAATAACATTACAAAAGTGAAACCAACTAAAAGTTTTAAAAAATATTAGGCAAGAAACTACCCCACGTTGGGCGCCATTTATACCAAGATAACTCAAATGTCTAAAATTTAGCTTCAATCTCAACAAAATATTAAAGGAGAACATTTTAAGGTTTTGTATTAAAAATTGTACTCACTTCGAGGCAAATAAGCTAGATGTTTTATATGACCTCCTGTTGGGCGCCACTTCTGCGAAAGTTGTATATTTATACCCTACACAACTATGTTGTCAGGGTATTATTGCTTTGTGCAGCCCCAAGAGTTTGTAACACTGCGAAATATTGGTCCTAGACGCACCTTTAAGTCTACCAATCGTCTCGACTAGCAGAGTCGATCTAGACATGTGTGTCCGTCCGTCCGTCTGTCCATTATAATTTGTAAACACGATACAGGCCACAATTATGGACCAATCTTCACGAAATTTTGTATGTAGGAAGACCCCTATTGTTTTGTTTTAGGATGAGTTCTGCCCAATGAAGACCCCTATTGTTGTTGGTAAAGATCAGTTAATAATTAGGGGATGAAATGGACCAAATACTTAATTTTTGTCGGTTTTAATGGATGCTCCAGAGGCAGCATGGTATGGTCCGAACATCGAAATTTTACATAAAGAAGGGGATCGGAACAAAGAAGGTCAAATGGAACCTGACTTTTGTGTGAAAAATTACAACATTTTTATTCTATGGCGTATATTTACCCCTGACGGACATATACCTGAGAACTTCATAGTGTATCCAAGACCTTTACATTGATACCAATTATGTTGCCGTATGCTCAGAATTTAGAACCACAGAAAGTTATATTTTCGTGGAAGTTGTGTAGGGTATCACATGGTCGGCCCCGTCCGACTATACTGCTCCGCTCCCATGTTGGGCGCCATTTTCATTAATTTGCTAATAACTTCTGTTAAACAATTTCAAATATAATACAAATTCGTATAGGGATTCCCTATGAGGTGTTTTTTTTACAATAATGCGTGGCCCCACGTTGGGCGCCATTTTCATTAATTTGATCATAACTTCTTCAAAACGAGCACAATCGTAATGAATATTTGTATATGGTTTCCCCTTTTGAGGTGTTACTGTATTTTTATTTCAAAAAATATTTTTTTTGGCCCACTTTGGCCGCCATTTTTTTAATTTGATCATAAATTCTTTACAACCAGTTTAAATATTATGGACATTTGCGAGTGGTTTCCCTATGAGGTGTTACTAAATATAGACATTAAAAAAATATTTTTTGTGCCACACGTTGGGCGCCATTTTCATTCATTTCCTTATAACTTCTGGAAATTCCCATATTAGGTGATACCTAATTTTGATAAATAAAAAAAATATTTTTTGTATTATGTGTAGTCAGTCCCATGTTGGGCGCCATTTTCATTAATTCGCTGTTAACTTCATTTAAACGAGGTCAATCATTATGGAAATTCGCCTATAGATTCCCTATGAGATGCTCCTTAATTTTGACATTAAAAAAAATATTTGTTGTGTTATGTGTAGCCCACGTTGGGCGCCATTTTTATTAAATTACTCAGAAATTCTTTAAAACGGGCTCGATGAATAGGAAATTTTTTAAATTGTTTCCTATGATCTTGCTAATTTATTTTAATATTAAAACAAGTATTTTTTTGCATTATGTTTAGGCCCATGTTGGGCGCCATTTTGCAATTAGTTGTTAATAACACCTTTGAAGCAAGTTCGAGCATTGTGGAAATTTGCATATGGTTTCCCTAAGAGATCCTAACTAATTTTTATCATTTCAAAAAATATTTTTTGTACCCCACGTTGGGCGCCATTTTTATTAATTTCCTCATAACTTCTTCAAAATGGGCTCAACATTATGGAAATTGGTATATGGTTTTACCTTATCGGTAGCCTTTCATCCCTGCCAAAAATTAACGTAAACTTGTGCCCCTAATTGGGCGCCATTTTCAAAATCCACTGTCAGCAAAAAAAAAGAAACAAAGATTGCTTAAAATATTGAACCAAAAAAACACGATGCTATGAATAAATGTTACGTTAATCGTTGACTAACTAACTTGGCTGGCGAACCGTCGAACTTTTTTTGTCTGTTACTTACCATTAGATTACTTAACTTCAAACTTGGCGCCGTATCCAACAGAAATAATTGATTGGCATTGCCATTATGACTATTCAGACTACTACAACTACTACTGCTATGGCCATTTTGTAGCTCATAACGTTGTGGAGAATCAGCGCGATGATGATGATGCGGATCATCATCATGATCATATTTGTTGTCGTTGGTATCATTATCAGCTGCAATTTGTTTGGCATTTGGCCCTCCTAACGATTTAAATGTGTTCGGATTTTGTGGTTTTGTAAAAAACCGATCTACATCTAAGGTTTCATGATGATAATGATCGCGATCATCATCCTCATCTTCGTGATCTACAAGTGTTATGGGATGATGAAGTGTTTTTTGGTGTGCCAATTGAGTGCCATTGTGGGTTTCATGGTGATTGCCATTGACGTCATCATCGCTATAATGATGATCATGATGATGCGGATCATGATCAGCACGATCATCATCACTGGCATCCTCCACAATGTAGTCGGTGTCGTGAATGTGTTCCGTATCATCATCATTATCGCAAATATCCAGCGAAGAGGATGACATATTTTCGATAACAATTTGAGGCCAATTTCTCTTGCCAATTGGGTTAGACGAGGCGGTGGTGGAGGAGGATGATGACAAGGTCTTCGTCGTGGTGGATGGTGATGATTTGGAATTTGAGGTGCCGGTGGTGCGATTTGATTTTGTGCCAGTTACCCGGGAGGTTGGAAATTTTGTGGTTTTCGTCTGATTGGTTTTGGTTTTCTGTTGTGGTAGATGATGAGAATGAAGAAAACCATTGGAGGCTCTAAAAGGTGATGAGGAGGGGGTGGTGGTTGAGGATGAGGTATTTGTGCTACGTTTGTTTTGTTGGCTAGTTGTGGGTTTAGAGGAAATTTCTCTTACTCCATTCGCACTGGCATTAAACACTGCTGGTGATGTTGGTGAGGGTGATGCTGTCGCCGATGAGGAGGCACTGCTAGACCACCGGGATGAGGTGGTCTGAACCGTTTGAGAGCGTATCACTTGCATTGCTGCACCGCCACTTGTACACCGCTGTATCACTTCGATTTGTTTGCGCTGGGTCTGTTGGGTGCCGTTCGGTTGGGAAATATTCTGTGAATCGGATATCTGAAAAGAGGGAGGGAAACAGAGAAGGGTGATAATTAGAAAAAATGCGCAATTAAATATAGGGAACTTAAATGAGAGAGGATACAGAGGGTGGGAGGTTAGTGTACTTTAATATAATTTATCATACGTTGGGCGCCACTTTCCCTATATGACAACTGTAAACTCAAATCGTAATAAAATTTGTCCGTGCGGAAATCTTGTCAAAATCGGCCGAGTTTAATATAAATTTATGGCATTTTTGACTTGGCCCCATGTTGGGCGCCACTTTCTCTATGACCGGAAATTTGACTTGAAACTTCTTCAAATTTGTCTGTGAGGAAATGCGGTAACAATCTTGCCAAAATCTGCCAAGTTTAATAGAAATTTATGGCATTTTTGACTTGACCTCATGTTGGGCGCCACTTCCTCTATGACCGGAAATTTTCTTGAAACTTCATAGAATTTAAAATTTGATATTGTATGGAATATTTTGCTACATTTTACCGAATTTTTAAGGAAATTGGTTGGCTTTTTGACGCCTTTGGGCGCCATTTTTTACAGATATGTTGGGCGCCATTTGCCATTTGAGATTACCATAAAAAATGTAATTGTGATAACTCTGGAACATTTCAGTAAAGCTTACGAAGTTTGAGAGAAATTTATTGGGGCTTTGAGTTGGTACCACGTTGGGCGCCACTTTCAATAATGTGAATTGTTGTCCTCAAATCGCCCTTAAATTTTAAATGTGGTAACTCTGGAATTTTTTTTATCCTACAAAGTTTGAGGGGAATTTATTGGTGTTTTTAGGTGGTCCCACGTTGGGCGCCACTTTCTATAACATTGATAATTTATCTCAAATCGTCATAAAATATTAGTTGTGTTAACGCTTGAACGCCTTGCTACAGTTTACAAACTTTGAGGATGATTGTTTTAGGTTTTTAATGTGGTTCCACGTTGGGCGCCACTTTTAAAAATGTCATTAATTTCCCTCAGATTGCCATAAAAAAATTAATTGTGATAAAGCTGAAACATTTTATTACAACCAACAAAATTTGAGGGAAATTTATTGAGTTGTTGATGTGGTCCCATGTTGGGCGCCACTTTCACTATGCGCCTAATTAAACATGGATTTTCATTGAGTTTAAAATTTGGAATCGCTGAAACATTTTTGCTAGAGTTTACAGAATATTTAGGGAAATGTTTTGGTCTATTTTGATTTGGTCCCACGTTGGGCGCCATTATCGGTATTTTTAGGAGTTTCGATGCGTTTTTTAATCGAATTAGATTAATTTTGGTATTTTGGATTCTCATGGAATAGCAAATTTTTCTACCAAAAATTATTACTATTGGTCCATTTCAAAGGGTAGCTTTCATATAAGGACACCCTCAAAATGCTGGTATTTTGGGCGCTTGGACACATTTTTCAACCAAATTGGCTGGAATTTGGTATTTTGGGTTCTCTTTGGATAGCACAACTTTTTTTTACCAAAAATTATGAATTTTAGTCCACTTTTTAGGGTAGCCCTCGTATAAGGACACCCTCAAATCGTCGGTATTATGGGGAGCTTGGGCTAGTTTTTCAATCGAATTGGCTATAATTTGGTATATAGGGTTCTCATGGTGTGGAAAATTTTCCTACCAAAAATTATGAACAATGGTCCAAGTTTTAGGTTAGTACCCCTATAGCCCTACCCTTAATTTTCGGTATTTTGAGGAGTTTGGGTACATTTTTCAACCGAATTGACTGTAAATAGCTATTTTAAGTTCTCATAGGGTGTCAAATCTTCATACCAAAAATTATCAATATTGGTCCACTTTTTATGGTAGCTCCCATATAATGTTACCTTCCGAATTTCGATAATTTTGGGAGATTGGGTACGAAATTCATTCGAATTGTCTGTAATTTGGTTTTTTGGGTCCTAATTGAGCGGAAAATTTTCCTGCTAAAAATTTTTAATATTGATGTACTTTCTAAGGTAAGGAACCCTTAAAATTTCGGTATTATGAGGAGCTTGGACATGTTTTTGATTCGAATTGGCTATAATCTGGTATTTTGGGTTCTCATAAAGTGGCGGATTATTTTACCGAAAATTATCAAAATTGGTTCACTTTTTCAGATAGCTCCCATATAAAAACACCCTAAACCGTCGGAATTTTGGGGAGCTTGGGCACATTTTTCAACCGTTTTGGCTGTAATTTGGTATTTTGGGTTTTCATAGGATTGCAAATCTTCGTACCAAAAATTATCAATATTGGTCCACTATTTAGGGTAGCTCCCATATAACGTTAACTCCCAAATTTCGATATTTTTGGGAGCCATTCATCCGAATTGGCTAAAATTTTGTATTTTGAATTCTTATAAAGTGGATAAATCTCCATACCAAAATATTTTGATTTTGGTTGATCTTTGGGTATATCTCCCATAGAAGTCATACCTAAAATTTCGGTATTTTAAGGAGCTTGAGTATGTTTTTCTACCGAATTGACTGCATTTTGATATTTTGGATTCTCAGTAGTTACCTAATATTCCTACCAAAAAAAATTAAATATCGGGCCATTTTTAGGGTAGTCTCCATATAACGTTACCCAAAAAAATTTCGATATTTATGGGTGCTTGGGCACGTTTTTCAACCGATTTGACTCTAATTTGATATTTTGGGTTCTCATTGGATGACAAATCCGCATATCAAAAATTTTTGATTTTGGTCGATTTTTGGGTATAGTTCCCATATAATTCACACCCAAAATTTAGGTTTTTTAAGGAGCTTGAGCATGTTTTTCAATCGAATTGACTCTTTTTTGGTATTTTAGGTTCTCATTAGATAGCTAATCTTCCTACCAAATATTGTAAATTGTAAATATTGACTCATTTTTTACGATAGTCTCCATATAATGTTACCCTAAAAGTTTCGATATTTTGGGGAGCTTTGGCACGTTTTCCGTTCGAATTGGCTGTAATTCGGTATTTTGGGTTCTAATTGGATAGCCAATTTTCTTAGCAAAAATTTTAAATATTGGACCATTTTCAAGGGTAATCTCTGTATAACGTTATCCCAAAAATTTCGATATTTTCAACAGCAAATGTTTAGCTTGAAGCATTTTTCTAAATTGATTTCACGAGCAAACTATTTATTTTGGGGTTCCTTGACAACGACAACAACAACACCACCACCAAATTGACACAATGATAATTTCATTAATTTCAGTTTTTTCCTTCATTCATTCAGTCAGTTTGTCAGTCTGACAGTCATTCCGCACAGTCCCTCATTCACAATTGGTTTCTTCAGAATTGCTTTTGGGCGGGTGGGGATAATTACCGGATTTTGTGCTCAGCTGTTCGGTTTAATTTTGTTTCTCCTTTTCTACTTAAATAGCTGGTGGTAATTTTATTTTGTTGTTGTTGTTATTGTTCTTGTCCATTTCGGATCGTTTAAAAGTCGTCAACCTTCAGATACTTAAAGTCAGAATCATTTTTTTTCTTTTTTTTTTGCAAAAACTATAAAACTCCACCCACATTATTAACGAACAATTTCCTTTTGGTTTTTTTGTCTTCAGAGTTTTGTTGTTGTTGTCTTTATTCTTGTTGTTGTTGTCATGCAGAACATATGTCGCTTGATTATTATTAATCGGAGTTCTTGGATTTTTTGTTTCAATTTCATGTTTTGTTGTTTTAGTTTTTTTTTTTAATATTTTTTATATTTTTCTTTGTTTCGTTCGAAGTTCGCAGCCAGTTCGTGACAAGAAGGGGATTTGAAAAACCAGATATCTGTATTACCGCCACTTTACAGCCACTTCGGTGCCACGGCCCAGGCTTCCAAAAAGATCGAAATTTTTGAGATATCGTTTTTGCGATATATGACGGCTACCCTAAAAAATGGACCAATATTATAAAATTTATGGTAGCTATCTAAAGAGAACCCTATCCAATGAGAACTCAAAATGCCAATTTGGAGACAAATCGGGTGAAAAACATGCTCAAGCTTCTTAAAATATCAAAATTGTGGGTGCGACTTCTATGGAAACATTACCCAAAGATCGACCAAAATCAATCATTTTAGGTAGGACGATTTCCTATCCAATGAGAACCCAAAATACTAAATTTAAGCCAAATCGGCTGAAAAACATGCTCAAGCCCCGTAAAAAATCGAAATTTTAGGTATGACTTCTATGGGAGCTATGCCCAAGGATCGACCAAAATCAACAATTTTTGGTATGGAGGTTTGCCACCCAATGAGAACCCAAAATACCAAATTACAGCCGATTCGGACGAAATTCATACCCAAGCTCCCAAAAATATCGAAATTTGGAAGGTAACGTTATATGGGAGCTACCCTAAAAAGTGGACCAATATTTATAATTTTTGGTAGGACGATTTCCTATCCAATGAGAACCCAAAATACTAAATTTAAACCAAATCGGGTGAAAAACATGCTCAAGCCCCGTAAAAAATCGAAATTTTAGGTATGATTTCTATGAGAGCTATGCCCAAAGATCGACCAAAATCAAAAATTTTTGGTATGGAGATTTGCCACCCAATAAGAACCGAAAATACCAAATTACAGCCGATTCGGACGAAATTCATACCCAAGCTCCCAAAAATATCGAAATTTGGAAGGTAACGTTATATAGGAGCTACCCTAAAAAGTGGACCAAAATTAATAATTTTTGGTAGGACGATTTCGTATCCAATGAGAACCCAAAATACTAAATTTAAGCCAAATCGGGTGAAAAACAAGTTCAAGCTCCATAAAATAACGAAATTTTAGGTATGACTTCTATGGGAGCTATGCCCAAGGATCGATCAAAATCAACAATTTTTGGTATGGAGATTAGTCAACCAATGAGAACCCAAAATACCGAATTACAGCCAATTCGAATGGAAAACGTGCACAGCTCCCAAAAATATCGAAATTTGGAAGGTAACGTTATATAGGAGCTACCCTAAAAAGTGGGCCAATATTTATAATTTTTGGTAGGACGATTTCGTATCCAATGAGAACCCAAAATACTAAATTTAAGCC